CTACACGGCAGGGGAAGACAACTCGGGTTGTGCGAAATTTGGAAAACGCCCATATTTTAAATTAACAATGAATCTGGTATAACACAGTGTAGGGAATAGCTTGTATAAAAAATATGTTGTAACGTCGAATTTAGGCTGTAAAAGTACAGTAAGTACAGTCTATTAATGTTGGTGGTGGGCGTGGGATGGGTTTAGGGGTTGGGTTTAGGGGTCGGGGTCAGAGGTTGGGTCAGAGATTGAGGTTAGGCGTTGGGTTCAGAGTTTGGGGTTACGGTTTGGGGAATGAAGGTGACGCAAGAAATGCTGGGTAGAAGTTTAAAAAAAAACTGTTAGTCTTTGAACAGCTTCTTGTTAGAAATTACAAGACTTCTTACCAGTTCGGCTTTTAACCAAACATTTATTACTTCGGACAAAACCGGCTACAAATACCGGACAAAACCGGCAACTATCTACAAATACCGGACAAAGCCGGAAACTATCTACAAATACTGGACAAAGCCCGGCAATTATCTACAAATACTGGACAAAGCCCGGCAACTATTTACAAATATCGTACAATGCCTGCCAACGTCTTACATGGCATCTTAAGGAAAACACAATATTCAAATATAGATTGACAAAAGGTAGACTGCGATATCGTGAGAAAGACAAATTGACTTCATGAAGGAGAAGATGTTGATTAGGGACAATCATTAAGGGACAGAACTGTGTTGATTTAAATGGCATCAAACCAAGGGGCTGAACTGTGTTGGATTAGTGCGCTCACCTCACACATTAGTCGTGTTCTGCACGTGTTAGCTTGCACGCATACTGGGGCGAATATTCTACGGTGCTTAATTAAAGAACTTTCCAGAAAAAAAACGTTACACTTAAAGATAATTTTCTTTTTCCACTTAAATATCGTAAACAATCTTTTGCAGAAAAAATTTTTTAGGGGAAAAATGTTACATTCTAGTTCAATACGATGAGTAGAAATGAATTAATATGAATTGTGCAGAGCAATAGAAATAAACCGGGAGCGATCTCTCCTAAAATTTCTCGAATATTCTTATATGAAACAACAGGGGATGGCAACTCGGGATATAGACATGATTTTTAATCCATTTTTATTTACTTAAACTTTTTAAAATAGAATAAAATCTCGTAGAAATAAACCCGGAGTGATCTCCCCTAAACTTTCTCGAATATTCTAATATAACACTACGTGGGATGGCAACTCGGAATATAGACATGATTTTTGTTTATTTAACCTTTTAAAAATAGAATAGAATCTCGTAGAAAAAAGAATTGCGCACCAAGCTAACGCCAAAACAAAATGTGCATAATAGTGCTCAATATTATTACTACTTTATAAATTTACATGCGTTTTTTGAGAAATTGGAAATAGCGTAAATTAGTACTTCTGGTCAACGGAAATTACTCAAAATTTGATAGAAGGTCGAGAATTAGTTCTTTTACTTACATGTGAAATTTAATCTATCTATCTGAATAGTACTCAAGTTATAAGCATTTGAAAAATTTTAAGTAGAAAAAGTTCCACTTCCGGCTATCGGAAATCGTTCAAAAGTTTATACGTATCTACGATTTTGATAAAATACTTATATATGAAATTTTATCAACCTAGCTGTAACGGTACTCAAGTTATCGTGTTTACAGTCACAAACATACACACACAGACATACGGACACGATTGCAAAACTGTTTTTCCGACTCAGGAAGCTGTATAACGTCGAGATTTGCAAAAATCTCGATTATTTAAAAAAATGCACGATTACAATACTTTCTCTACTCGTCGTATACGAGAAAGTAAAAATGCGTCCAATAGCAAGGTGTATATGAATAGAAAAAGTGCGGTAAATATTAACGGAATAGTGCATAATAAAAAGCATTGAGATAAATAGCGTAAGTTAATTATGACATAGACATGATTTTTGCATTACCTCTACGTTTAAAATCACACATCCCGTTGAGGAATATTTTCTGCGGAATGCACTTCTAATTGTACTTTTGATATTTAAGTAGATGAAGATTTCGCGACGTCTCTACCACTACACCACTACACGACTACACCACCCCACCACTACACCACCCCACCACTACACCACTACACCACCCCACCACTACACCACTACATCAATACACCACCCCACCACTACATTACTACACCACCTCACCACTACACCACCCACCACCCCACCACTACATCACTACACCACTACACCACTACACCACTACACCACTACACCACTACACCACTACACCACTACACCACTACACCACTACACCACTACACCACTACACCACTACACCACTACACCACTACACCACTACACCACTACACCACTACACCACTACACCACTACACCACTACACCACTACACCACTACACCACTACACCACTACACCACTACACCACTACACCACTACACCACTACACCACTACACCACTACACCACTACACCACTACACCACTACACCACCTCACCACCCACCACCTCACCACTACATCACTACACCACTACACCACTACATCACTACACCACTACACCACTACATCACTACACCACTACACCACTACACCACTACACCACTACACCACTACATCACTACACCACTACACCACTACATCACTACACCACTACACCACTACACCACTACATCACTACACCACTACATCACTACACCACTACACCACTACATCACTACAACACTACACCACTACACCACTACACCACTACATCACTACACCACTACACCACTACATCACTACACCACTACACCACTACATCACTACACCACTACACCACTACACCACTACACCACTACACCACTACACCACTACACCACTACACCACTACACCACTACACCACTACACCACTACACCACTACACCACTACACCACTACACCACTACATCACTACACCACTACACCCCCCACCACCTCACCAAAGGCCCACCATTCTTTGCTCCAATGCTTTCAGATCTATTTCCTGATTGCCAAATTCCACCTTGCGATTTCCTGCGGTCTAACTTTCGGGTGAACGGCCGCATACAATTTCATCAATCAAAAACCTTCGACTGCATGGCACGTCCCATGGATCGATATTCAAGGAAATAAATATCGAAATTATCAATTATCAATTTCTTACCAAAATCATTCGCGTCTAAACACAAAATAATCAACTTCTTGTAATAAAAAAAAATGTCAACTATTATTTTTTTTGGGAGTTCAGACTTTAATTCACATCGTCATCTTTATATATATATATATATATATATATATATATATATATATATATATATATATATATATATATATATATATATATATATATATAATTACATAAATATAGCCACAAATTTTCCGTCAATACAACGGTTTATATATATAAAATTTATAAAGTTTGCTATAAGTTTATCCTAGGATTGGCGTTATCCTATAACTTCTTCCTCTTATTCTTTTGCATCAGGTTTGTTGAATTATAGCACTATTTAAGAAGGCGTGAATTATAACTTTAACCTCAGATTTGTGAGTTTTTATGATAATTCTAACATCAGTTTTGTATTATTTTATCCTATAATTAATGTAACTCTCCAGTCATATGCTGTTAAGTTTTGTCCAAGGATTAAAGAGTTATCGTTCCTGTTGTTAGTTACTGACGGTTAGGCCTAAACCGTGTTAGACTAATTATAATCGTAAAACCGTAAATGTGGTCGTTATAGTTATAAACTGCTCCAGCTTAACTGTCAGTTTTAATCTTGAGAAAATTAAAATTAACGTTTATGAGACCGAAATATATCACAGTGCTAAAAAGTCAAATCGATTATACACGTGAATTAAATTTTACACCAGACAATTCATTTGTTATCTGAAGTTTCTACACAGAAAATATCTTATAGATATTTGGAAAAATTGTTTAGATATAAGTCATAAGTCATACGTCATGAGTCGGAAGATCATGTAACTTGTCTTTGAAACAACATGTTCAAAAGTTTTCAAACGTAAAGTGTCTGACGACTGAAATTCAAAATCTTTGAACGAAAATGTGCATGTTTTTTGAATCAGCCAATGATGTTAAAATACGTTGTCAGTATCTAGGATATTTGATCGATTAGGGCCGCTGGAGATTAAAGGATTGAACAGGGCCGGGTAAAATCGATGATAATCATGGGCTTGCATTCAATAATTACACGATCGTTGTACATTTGTTATATAATGAAGAAGATAAAATATACGAACTTTCTTTGCTTTGAATTAAAGTATTTAAAAAATGGAAACGGAAGAAATTATTCGCCTGTTGTAGTATGTGTGTACAAATGTATGTATAGATCGTTAGAAGACTTGAATGTAACGGTTCAACATGAAGCGATGTTGTTGTAGTGTGGGGGGTTTGAGAACCTCTGGGTGTCAGATCTATTGTGGTGTAGGAAAACACAAAACTTTAGTGGGTGCCAAGTTTTGGATGTGTGGGGGGCCAAGGTTTGAGAACCTCTGGGGTGTCAGATCTATTTTGGTGTAGGAAAACACAAAACTTCAGCGGGTGCCAAGTCGTTATTGAGCATCAGGGGCAAGTGGTTTTTATAGGTCGGCTAATCGACACCTCCACACATTCCAAGCTAAACAAACTTCAACAAACGACTTGAAAATATTGAACGAACTTTAACAAACATAAACAAACTTGAACAAACTTGAACAAACTTTAATCAACTTTCGTTACTGCTATATTGTGTGTGTATGTATTTTGGTATCTATAATTAGACTATAATTAGATTAACATAGTAGATGTGCTGTTTGGATGTAATGGAAAACACTTAAAATATGTGTATACATGTTTTTGTAGAAGTGGCTCAACTCTACATTCAGGTACAGAACGAAAAGAAAGGGAGAGAAGGAAGTAACGAAGATAAAGGGAGAGAAGGAAGTAACGAAGATAAAGGGAGATAAAAGGGAGGAAAAAGATGGCAACATCAAGTCAACACATTGCACGTGGTTCCCTACCTGCTTGAGGTGAGTACACAGTTGAACGAATCTTCAGACGTGAAATCCTCTCCCATCTTTCACCCCTCCAGTCCGTCTGCCTCACGCTGTGATCCTCCAAAGCTCGGGCATCACGTGATAGTTAGATCACACTTCTAATCCATGTTACACAAGCGATTGAAAGAATTTGAATTCAGAAATTTTTTTCCCGAATTTTTTTTTTGCTTCAGTTAACTTGCTGTGTAAAAAAAAATGAAGAATTAGGGCCTATTGATTTTCTGGAATGACGGCATCAAAGTATTTTCATGAACAACCAGAAAAAAATATTTTATATGCACCGCCGAGTTTCAAAGAAAAAGGGCAATCACTCCAAAGAAAATTACAAAAATAAAACAATTTTTTAAAAAATGATCACAATGAAATCCCCACACGGAAAATGAAAAATAAAAACAAAAAGATTGAATAATATCTGATCATCAAATCGATTTTCTGTTCTCAACTCGGATGCACAAAAAGTAAATTTAAAAACTCAACACTAAATAATTAATATTCTCACATAAAATTTATATAACTAAAACATCCTCTAATTAGGAAACTTATAACTTTTTCGCATAATAATAGCCGTCTTAAAAGATAAGAAACTGTTGCGTGAAGAAATCGATAATTATTGAATCGATACTTGATCAAACCGGCTGTCACACAGCAAATCAGCACAGGTAGAACAGGCGGCTACAGCAGCAAGCAGTGGCAAGCCTCGGGTACCAACAGACGCCAGAGTGTGCGGGGAACTGGCAAGGTGAAGACGCTAGCAGAGGTCTGGCACGAGTTGTCTTCATACACCCCTCCCTCCCCTCCCTCCCCACCCGCGCGGCAACCAGGAAATGGCGGCGGGGTGGACGGGAGAGGAGGGGAAGGTTGATCCATCGGCTTCATAAGGGGGGGGGGGGGGTGGAGGTGTTGATCCATCAGTTTCATGGGGGGGGGGGGATGGAGGGGGGATGGAGGGGAGGGTTGATCCATCAGTTTCATGGAGTTAGGGGGGGTATCGTAAACATGGGGATCTGATGATTTTTTTCGCTTTCAAATAAATCCTCGATTTATCATATTGGATTTCTGATTTTCTTAAATAATCTATTATACCTGTTTATATTTGAAATTTTGAGATGTATTTCAATTTTAAAGAAATTTGATCATTTAGTTTTTTTATGCATATATAATCTGCATCATATAGGCTAACATTTTGTGATTTCTAATCAAAAGCAAGTTGTGACAGTATGGTTTTGTTAATTAATAAACATTTCAATTTAGGCGTTCGTCAAACTGCACATTGTACAATCCACTCACTTCATCACCGTGGTATAGGTCGACAGATCATAACATAACACCCCACAACTGCACTACACTAAACCACACCTCACCGCACCATACCACAACACACTACACTACACTACACTACACTATACAACATCACATCACATCACACCACACCACACCACACTACACTACACTACACTATACAACATCACATCACATCACATCACATCACATCACATCACACCACACTACACCACACCACACTACACTACACTACACTACACTACACTACACTACACTACACTACACTACACTACACTACACTACACTACACTACACTACACTACACTACACTACACTACACTACACTACACTACACTACACTACACTACACTACACTACACTACACTACACTACACTACACTACACTACACTACACTATTCTACACTACACTACACTACACTACACTACACTACACTACACTACACTACACTACACTACACTACACTACACTACACTACACTACACTACACTACACTACACTACACTACACTACACTACACTACACTACACTACACTACACTACACTACACTACACTACACTACACTACACTACACTACATTACACTACACTACACTACACTACACTACACTACACTACACTACACTACACTACACTACACTACACAAAAGACAAAAGACAAAATTTCGACTTGTAAGTGAAGTATAACTAATTAAACTATCGATGAGTAGTTCACACAAATGTTTGCAGGGAAAATGACAGTCTTTCTTGTCTCTCTTCTTGTTAGATTTCTAGTATTTGGAAAAACTATGATGTATTTTGTGCCCACGATTTTTGTATTTATACCAGGAGTACTTGTCCCATTTCAACTTGTCCCATTTCAACTTGTCCCATTTCAACTTGTCCCGTTTCGACTTGTCCTAGGTGTACTTGTGCCATTTGATTATGCCCCATCTGAACTTGAACCATATGAACTGGCCCAATGAACTTGTCCCATGAACTCTTTTCATGAACTCTTTTCATGAACTTGTCCCATGAACTCTTTTCATAAACTTGTTTCATGAACTTGTCCCATGAACTTCTCCCATGAACTGTTACAATGAACTTGTCCCATGAACTTGTCCCATGAACTTGTTTCATGAACTTGTCCCATGAACTTGTCCCATGAACTTCTCTCATGAACTGGTCCCATGAACTTGTCCCATGAACTGGTCCAATGAACTTGTCCCATGAACTTGTCCCATGAACTTCTCCCATGAACTTGTCCCATGAACTGGTCCAATGAACTTGTCCCATGAACTTGTCCCATGAACTTGTCCCATGAACTTGTCCCATGAACTTGTCCCATGAATTTTGTCCCATGAACTTCTCCCATGAACTGGTCCAATGAACTTGTCCCATGAACTGGTCCAATGAACTTGTCCCATGAACTTGTCCCATGAACTTGTCCCATGAACTTGTCCCATGAACTGGTCCAATGAACTTGTCCCATGAACTTGTCCCATGAACTTGTCCTATGAACCTGTCCCATGAACTTGTCCCATGAACTTGTTTCATGAACTTATCCCATGAACTTGTCCCATGACCTTGTCCCATAAACTTGTCTACAAATACACTAATCACTCGCCCTAAAAACGTGGATGACAAAGCTTATACGAAGAAAACTTAAAAAATTACTTTTTCACACCTAAACGTCGTGAATCATCGACTAATTAATAAGCTTTTAGCGACAGGTTAATTATCTTTAGCCACAGGTTTTTATAAGCAAGCTTTTAGTCAGAAGTTAATTAGCTTTTAGCGTGTGTGTCAGATACACTAGTCTTACTCTGGTCTATAAAAAATGTCAATATAACACGCACTATCCATGTATGAGTACCCCCCCCCCCTACGCCATCTGCCTTATCCTTATGACCCATGGACCCCCTGCTCTAGGTTGCCAGACCCATGTCCGAGTACCCCCCCCCCCCGACCCTGATTAGCCCCACGCTTTATGTGTTGACATGTCCATTCTAATGGCAACCATTTTTCTTTTTTTTTTCTCCGTCTGAAATTTAAAAAAAAATTTAAATTTAAAATAATAATGAGGCTCAAACAAACCACAGGCAATTAAACAAATTAGTTCAAGGCTGTTTGAAATTTTTAAACCGCTGCTCGTGTCTTTTAGTTATTTTACGGTCAAAAGATGATCAGTAAAACTTTTTTTTTGCATTTGAGTTTCATATTTTGACAAGATGTATTCAATTTTCAATAATTTTTTTTTTATAATTCATGCATTCTAACCCAGTAAACCATCAATTATTAATTTTTTTTAGTTTCTAATTTTTTTCAACAACGTTTTGGAAACAAAAAGAATTGGGCGAATTTTCAGCTTGATTTTGTGTGCACATCGTGTGAGCTGTGTTGCGTGTTGGCGCTAACTGCTGCCTCTGTCAGCACAACCAGGTTAATCTCCCCTAGAAATTATTTCAATTATTGCTAATACAAGGTTGATAATGCATGCGATGCTGCAGAAAGGAGTTGTAGAAATGAATTTTCAGCGTGCGAAAAATTGGGGGAAATTGTTGTGGAATAAAAGGAGTAAAACAACAAGCTGTAAAAATATAATTTGATCAAACGTAGCTGTTGTTTATTTGATTTTGTCTCTTGCAGTGGTTTTTATATGGTGTTGTAGTGGTTTTTGGCTGGTGTTGTAATGGTTTTTGCTGGTGTTGTAATGGTTTTTGCTGGTGTTGTAATGGTTTTTGGCTGGTGTTGTAATGGTTTTTGGCTGGTGTTGTAATGGTTTTTGGCTGGTGTTGTAATGGTTTTTGGCTGGTGTTGTAATGGTTTTTGGCTGGTGTTGTAATGGTTTTTGGCTGGTGTTGTAATGGTTTTTGGCTGGTGTTGTAATGGTTTTTGGCTGGTGTTGTAATGGTTTTTGGCTGGTGTTGTAATGGTTTTTGGCTGGTGTTGTAATGGTTTTTGGCTGGTTGTTATGATGCATGTTTGACTAGGGCAATGGGTGCGCATGATTGATGGTGCGGCCGTATATTGAACGAGTGAGTGTGTGACGCTGTACGCAAGAAAATGACGTTTTAGTGTGAGTTCGTTGTTGCCAGGAAAGAAGATTGGAGTTAGTCTTGTCCGTGTTACGTTAGAGTTAGGATGTCTAGTTGTAGTATCGTTTATCCAAGCTGTCCGATGTCCATTTCTATTGTGCAATAAATAGAGTTAGTAACCGATGTCATTCTGTTAAATCATTCGTAGCGTTGATGTCGTCGTGTCCCAAGATGTACTGTAGGATAGCTAAACATAATCAAATGGTGGTGATATGGAAAGATGGTATTGGATCAGGTAGTTGTACCCTCTCACTGCATAACTGTGGTACACATATAGAACACAGCAGTTATAACACTGGTGTTGTAATGGTTTTTGGCTGGTGTTGTAATGGTTTTTGGCTGGTGTTGTAATGGTTTTTGGCTGGTGTTGTAATGGTTTTTGGCTGGTGTTGTAATGGTTTTTGGCTAGTGTTGTAATGGTTTTTGGCTGGTGTTGTAATGGTTTTTGGCTGGTGTTATTTTTGTAATAATTATTATTGCTACAATTATTATTTTTTTCATATTATTATCATTAGCATTATCATTATTATTATTATTATTATTATTATTATTATTATTATTATTATTATTATTATTATTATTATTATTATTATTAATATTATCATCATTAATATTATAATTATTATTTTATTATTAGTAGTAGTGATAGTAGTATTATTATCATTATTATTAATATTATTATTATTATTATTATTATTATTATTATTATTATTATTATTATTGATATTATTAACGTTATTATTATTATAAACATTATAATTATTAATAACATTGTTTTTATTAGAAACTCATTACATTAACTCAATAATAACATTTTTAGTAACTTAATATTACTAATATTATTATTATTTTAATGGTCTTTACGCAGACCGCTGTTCTCCCCTCCCCCCACATCCCACAGACACACACATACACCCCACACCCCACACACTCTTCTTTCAGCTTTTGAAAATTGTGAAGGCTCCAAATAGATGACTGAGTTCCTTCCAAATCATTTGGTTTAAAAAATCGAATGGATAAATTATATTTTGTAAAACATTATACAAAAAAAAAGTAGTAGATGAACCAATACAGGACATTACAGGACAAGTAGGACATAAACGGGACATGGCCGGTAGGACAAGAACGGGACATGGCCTTTAGGACAAGAACGGGACATGGCCTTTAGGACAAGAACGGGACATGGCCTTTAGGACAAGAACGGGACATGGCCTTTAGGACAAGAACGGGACATGGTCGGTAGGACAAGAACGGGACATGGCCGGTAGGGCATAAACGGGACATGGGCGGTAGGACAAGAACGGGACATGGCCGGTAGGACATAA